CCTACTATTTAGGGCACTACATTAGGGTCCCCTATTTTCGGAAGCCCCCTGACATGGCAGTTGCCTTAAAAAAAGTGCCTATAGAACGGGTTCCTTATTATAATTATAGCATAATGGGCCCAAGACCCGATTCTAAATATATAATTACCGGTACTATTTTGGGGGCTCCTTAAAAAAATGGGCCCCAAAACCCTATTCTAAGACTTACTTTTGGGTATTGGGGGTTTATGGTTTAGGGTGTAGGCTTTCAATTCAGGTTTAGGGTCTTGGGTTTAGGGTTGAATTTATATACGGGCCTAAATAATCATGTTATTTTGGCCCGTTTCTTATTCTAACTATAGTATAATTGGCCCCAAAACCCTATTCTAATTATCAAGGCTCCTACATTCGAGGGTTCTATATGGGAGTCTCCGAAAATAAGGGGTACCTTATGTGGGGGTCCTTACAATACGGATCCTAGTATTTACGGTGCTATGTTAGAGTCCAAACCCCCATATGGGTTCTCGGAAATAGGAGCCGTCATCATGAGAGTAATTGGTTTTCGGATGTATGCCATACTATAAACGTTACAATAAGGACCCAAAGCTGATAATACCCACCTATAGATAAGAGCTGTTCGAATGTGCTTTTAGGGCTAGCCGGTAGATGAAGGGGCGAGGGTACTACTTCAAATCATACAGCTTTGGGATTTAATGTGTTTGTTGGCATGGGATGTTCGGGCACCATAAGGGGTCAAGGGTCATGACAATTGTGTCGTTTGGGTTTGGGCTCCTGCTGCTCTGGGCCTGAGAATGGGGGTTTAAATTAAAAGTCGAGGGCATTTAGGTAGTACTTCAGCGGTCTTTGGCGACGGAGGATATCTTTGCATTTGAAATTTTTTTGATAACTCATTTGTTGAGTCTGCATGTTTCCGTATGCCTTGCGTCTCCTGGAAACAACTTCAGTCACCATGGAATAGGCGACATCATTAACGTGTTTCCCGCTAATGGTAACTGGTAAGTTGCATTAAGTGCTTTCCTCCCAATCCCGTAAAGTCCCAAACTTGTTGTTCCCCTCTCCAGGTAGCAGCCCTTGAAGACGTTCTTCCTTACAACTCTGAGTGGCATGCCTTTGCTACCTTGCGATGCCACTGCATGTACTCTACAGGTACATGCATGCATGCATCATACATAATGACATGCAGACAGACAGGCAGACACGTCATAGCATACTGCACCGCCGGCCCAACTACTATGCATCCTTCGTCCGAGTGTTCAGGTTGTGTAATAAGCCCAGCCCCACCGAATCCCTAAAAAGAGATCCTGAAAAGTCCTGCTAAAATCCTATAAGCAGCCCAACCCTAACTAACTCTTAAGGCTCGAACAAAGATGTACAGTAAAGCGTCTTCCAGTAGTTGAAGGCCCCTAGACTAGAGCGCCTCAAGTTTTTGGTTTCTGCTTCGGCGGCTGCAGGAGCGCTTCCCCTGGCAAGAAGTTCCCCAAGCCCCCGAAATCTCACGCAAGGTCTGGCTTGTTTGAGGTTCTGGGGATTTTTGCAAGCAATGCGATAGCCCCCGAAACCAGGTACGCAAACTGCATCCCCAGGCACCACCCAACTCCCATACTAATGCCCATAGAGTCTCGTAGGAAAAACTGGTGCCTCCACAAGCACCGGCAGGAAAACCGCAACACTGAAGAACTTCCAGTATCCCAAGACCTCCGAACATCCTGAACTTGTCTACCGACAGCTGTGGGTGTGTGAGCATATGGGTATATGTATGCGTGTGATTCTGGTATATGTGTATCTATATATCTGTATGCATATGTACATGTGTATATATATATATATACGCATACATGTTGGTATATATTCTTATACATACATACATACATACGTACATACATACATCCATGCATGCATACATCCATGCATGCCTGCATGCATGCATATATATATATATATATTTATATATATATTTATATATATATGTAGATATATATATATATATGTAGATATATATATATATATAAACATATAAAGATACACAATAATCATATACACACATGTAAGTATGTATGTATGCATGTACGTACGTCTGTATGTGAATATGTAGATGCGGGGCGGAGTCTATGGGTAGATGCAAGCGAGACACGACAGTGTGGACCTGCCTCTACCCGTATGTACTAATGTATTTATACGAACACATTCGCACAATTTCATGAATTGCTAGCTCTTGTTCCCTAGCTTGTTTAATCTTTCACCGACGCACCGGAAACCGGCGAGGGGAAGCACCACTTTAAGCAGCCGTCCGAAGATGCCACATGAAGTAGGGCTTTGCACATTTCTGGACTGTAGGGTCTCCAGCAGCGTTAGTATCTACCGCTGTTTCGTGTTTTTGTACCGCTGTACCTTGACTGTTTTCCGCAGCCTTCATATGTTTGGGGCTTCACCCCACGTACATTTGGTGTTTGGAGATTTCGGATCTTCTGGAAAGCGAGGATCAGGTACTGTCAGCGCGGCTGTTGCGTTCGGGGTATGTCTTTGTCCAAAAATGTGAGAAACATGTAGCATGGCTTTGGGCGAAAACGTACGGGTTGGCAAGGAGCCAACGTGGCATGCTGCGACCTGGCGTAGTATGGTGTCCGAAGCTTTAAGCCCTTGGCGGAGAAACCCTACTTCACAGATCTTCCGAAGTTCCGGGCCTCTGGCCGGATGGCCGAAGACGGGGTCACGAAAGACACGTGGTCTCCGGGGATTGGAGAAGCTGAGTTTCATCATTCGGTTGTGGGGCTTTGTAGTTTGAGCTCTGAGCTTGGCGAAGCGACTCGTAGGAGTGTTGCTATGATTAGGCTGTCGAGCAAAGTGCAGAGCAGCATGCTGATGATGACGATGACGGGGACGATGATGATGATGGTGATGACTGTTGTGATGGTTGCGGTGTTTGTCGCACCATCATCGTCCGTCTGGCATTTGTTGCCGCGATTCTTCTTCTAGGCGATGGTGCGGCTGGTGCTGGTGCGGGGACAGGTTCCGGTGCCGATGCTGCTGCCAGCTGGGGGTGTATTGCGGAGGTGGAGGGATCCTGATGCCGACGACCAAAGTCACTCGTGCTACCTCTCCTTTGACACGTATGGGGTTCGCAGAGATCGTTGTGGGCTTTGCTGAAGCCTCAGACCCAAGCAAATTACTTCAATGCCAATGCTGGACGGTTGTCTTGTCCCTAAACCCTAAACCCTAAACCCTAACCTAGAATCGCCTTTACTGCGTGACTTCATGCAGCCCGGAGATCGAAAGCCAGTCCGAAAGTCGGGCTTAGGCTTAGGGATTTTAGTGGCTTTGGGTTCAGGGTATCTAGCGAATCTAGCCTACTTGTTGATGATTCCGTGTGCAGTGAGTTATAGAATCAAGGATGCCGAACACCAGTTAAATCTATGCCCTGTGACATTGAAAAAAAACCCTAAACCCTAAACCCCCCTATGTTCTTTGTATCCTTCGGTCCATCCGACAGATGCAATGACAACCCCCTGTTTCACTCGTGCCGACATGTATTTGGCGTCCGGGTCGTCAAGAAACCGCATCGGGGGTGTGGAGCCTCTGGAGTTTTTTCTCTTGGTGTCCTTCTGGTTGGCTCTTAGGACTTTAACTTTTTGGGTTTCTATATAACTATAATAAGGAGACTAAAAGTTTAACTTTTTGGAGGGGTTCAGAAGTCAGCCAAGTTCTTTCTGGGGAGGTGAGGGATAGGGTTTAGCTTAGGGTTTAGGGCTTATAGGCTTTAGGGGTTTAGGGTTAGGTGAGGGATAGGGTTTAGCTTAGGGTTTAGGGTTTAGGGGGGGTTTAGGGTTTAGGGTGAGGTGAGGGATAGGGTTTCGCCGGTTCGCTTGAGTCTCAGTGGTGTTGCGAGTTATCTTCTTCTAGAGCCCCGGTTCTCCCAGGACCCTACTGAAATTATGCCTTGAATGGAGCCGCTTGCCAGTTTCGGTTTGAGGTGGGCAGTATGGTGGTATAACGCACCCCCAATCCCTAGCAATCACCACTAGCAAGCAATATAGCGTCCTCCAAATCCATAGAGGCCCATTTTGGGTCTGGTACCACCCCTCCCTGGAAGGGTCTAAGAGTCATTCACGGCACCGGTTGCCCTGCTTGCCAGCCTTTCGCAATGACATTTGCCTCGCGTATGCACGGAATTCTGGCTTCGAGGGAATCGGGTTAGAAACATGCCAGAGCCTTGGCTACGGCCACAAACCCGCAGTCCCCGTGACCATGAACCTCAAACGACAATGAAGCCCGAAACCGAAACCCGTAAACCCCCAACCCTTAGCCCTAATATCTGCAAGCCTTAGACCCCAAACCCACAAGGAATTCCAAGCTCCTTGTGTTGACATAGCCATGGCTCTGACGTTACCCAATCGAACCAAGGATCGGGTCATGACACACGGCGCTTCGAGCACGGCGTCTATAGATCAAATAACGACGGAGTGTTGTAGGGACGGTCTAGGGCTCGATGTTCGGTGTACCACGTTACAAGATGTCGTAGACTGTGTGTGTTTTTTTGCATGTTGGTGGGAGTACATGCAAGATCACAGAGTGTAGCGCCCATTCTTGCTTCGCACAACGACCCAACGCAGCCCAAAAAGCCAAACGATAACTAGTGCAACCTCAGTCAATCACAACCCCCAAAGCCCTAGCTGCTGAAGCACAAGGACCACTACACGAAGCCAAGAAAGCCCC